CGACACAACGGACGGAGAAGACTTCGGAGTTAGTGGCACTGGGCGAGTTGAGACATGATGGAGGCGCCGGCACAGGATGGCGTGGGACCACAAGCGATCCACCCCCAAGCTGGCCCATCACAAGGGCATCGTACAGACTGGCAAATTATGAAGGCGGTCAGGAGAGCGGCCCTAACACGCTCCTTCGTTACGGACCCGGCTGCGGACACCAAGACTGCGGATGGCGAGCTCATCCTCCAGGTGGAAGAGAAGATGGCGATTGCGCAAATCACTTATATGCGCGCTCACATCATCGTCATGCGCTTCGAGGGCCCTCTGAAAGACCTGGCACTGCAAGCCAAGTTGGATTGGATACGCTGTTGGGAGTTGGAGAACTGGCCAGAGAAAGGCCAGGCCTCGTATCAAGGTCGAGTGATGGTGGAGGGAGGGGCGCTGGTCTTCTATTGGGCCCCCACGGCTGCACTGCGAGACTGGGTGCTTCACGAGCGGGGAAGTGAGGGTATCAGACTGGGCGACTGCACACACCTGGTTCGGTTCACATCCTGGAAGTCGCCAGTGGAGGTGAAGTGGGAGAGGCTGCAAGAGCGGAAGGCGCAGCCATGGGTGCGCTTCGTGCAACCGCCTTCCATGGCGGTGTTAATGCTCCGGCAGCTGGCGGAGTCGTTCTTCGGGGCAGTCAGGAACCCTGAAGGCACGTGGGCGATTGACGGCGATGGCAGAGAGACAATTAGATTTGACCTCTACCCCCCGCTCCGCTCGCAGGGGCTGGAGCGCTTGGCTGTGGCGCAAGCGTATTACGGTCGGCCGGAGGTGAGAGGGGTGACGAGTGAGACCCCGTGGTGCGATAATTGTCGAAGGCATGGCCATCTCACACGAAGGGGTCGCTGCGTAAACATGGCGGAGACCAAGGAGGAACTAGCCCGTAGGGAACACCTGCTGAGAACTGACCCTGGCCTCCCTCGGGATGATTTCACGGAGATCGCGTGCTGGGTAGATTTTGAAAAAGAGTTTGATACGGTGATATTCACGGAGATTGCCACCGAATCCAGCCTGGGCGGCGGGATGGAGGTAGGGGACCGGCAACTGCTTCAACCGGCTCCTCCGCACCAGGCCGCGGCCGCTGATGGGGCGGATGGAGCCCATTCACGGCAACCAGCCATACCAGATCAGGGTTCCAACAAAGTGCCTGAGAAGCAAGGGCTTGCAGGCCCTAGGGAGCATCATCGAGGAGGACAGGGGCAACAGAAGGAGCAAGAAGCCCCCTGGTCAACAGCCGGACGCCCGTCAGAAGCCCGAGAGGCAGCCGTCAGCCGGGGGTCGTGCACAGCAGGTCAAGCACATGCTGCGAGAGCATCAGCAGCGTCAGCATCCGCCACCGCAGGCACCACCGAAGCCACAATCCCCCCACGAACACCACGAGCACCGTCGACAACAGCAGATGTTGCCGCAAGCATCASCGTCAAGGCAGAGGCACCTACTGCACCAGCCGCCACCATCCCAGCCAGCGCCATCGCAAYATCAACAAGAACTGAATACTGTACCCCAGCAAGCGCAGGCGGGGCTGCTCCCCCTGAGGCCTCCAGCACACACAACAGCCAGAGAAGTCATTGTGCTATCGGGGGATACGCAACCAGACCAGACCGTCGCACGGGAGGTGGGAGGTCAGCGAGAGGGGGGGGAGCAACCGGCGCCAATGGAGTGCTGCGAGAACAAAGAAGAGCAACAGCCAGCGATGGTAGCGCGCTCCAGCGACCAGAAGAGTGGAGATGGACGTGCAACGAACCCGCAGCCCTACGAACAACCTGGCCACCATGAGGAGAGTCGGTCCCGTGGGCAGGAGACAAATCCAGAAGCACTGGCGGGAGGAGGTGCAGTCAACAGTGGCCAGGCTGGGGGACAGGTCAAAGGGCCGCCTCCTAATCAGCACCAACAGCCGGGACAACGGAGAGAGGGTAAGGATGTGATGAGACCCCAAGGATTGGGTGTGGAGCGGATTGGGACAGAGCCGCCTCCTTTCGTCCATAGCCAGCAACGATGCGGCAGCGCGGTGGCCGAGGCCTCGGCACGTGGAAGGCGGACGCCAGCTCAGGTGCCCAAGCCAAAAGGAAGATCGAAGTTTAAGCGAGGACTTGTCGGCACGGCCGAGACCGGACCACTTATACGACCCCACGGCCAGAGGTTGAAACGAAGGGTTGCAACCAGAGTGCTCTGCTATGGGACAACCTCCAGGGGCAGATTCAGCAGCCAGAAGGACAGGCGAGGACGTCGGCAGCAGAAGACCCCCCCCCGCTCGGCGGCGGGGCCCCAGGCTATTCCGGGAGCGGACTCTGGCCTTCTGGATGGCGTTAAGGACCTCAAGCTTGGGCCGCCTCAGCAGCAGGAAGAGGGACCTCCGCAGAATGGTCAGGGCTTAAACTTCAAGCGTGGACGCCAGCGCAAGCAGGGTAGGGGACGAACGAGCAGAGAAGCATCACCTGTCGACCTTCCGGAGGAATCGGAGCAGGACAAGAGGCGAAGGACCCTCGAATCCCCGATAGGTAAAGCGACGCAGCACCCCGAGGGCAAGGACTGGCAGCACTTCGTGGAAATTACGAGCTCTTCCTCCCAAGCCCTCGAGCCTGCCCTCTCCCTGCCTCCTTCTCGCGGCCCCTCGGCCCTCCAACCCCTTCCATCCCCCCCCTCCAGTCAACCACGGTCGGCCAACGCTGGTAACCCGCAAGGGCACCAACCCTCGCACCTATCGCCTTCGTCCTCCCCGGACGACGACGGCATAGAGGAACAGAACTTAGGACAGTCACTGAGGGGCGCCCCGGGCGCCCCTGAAGATGTGGGGCACGTGAATGATCACGTGCAATTGGCACGTATACTCCTCCTTGATGGGAGGTTTGATGAACTCCGATCGCAGGGTCGGATTTGCATAGTCCCTATCATATGCCGCCTGTTTGACGGCAAGATACAAGCCATGCTGTACCACCGACCTGAGACTTCGCAGGACCCGGCCATCCCATTTGTCAAGGTAAGCGAGCACCCTTCCATGCAGCGAGCAGTCGCTGTAGCGGAACGGGGGGCGGGCCCTGCATATAAGATCTCCCCCGTCAAGGGAATCTCGGCAATTAGACTATTGTTGAAAGGATCGGCCACTCAGACAATAGGGGCGTATTGCTTTATGCTTCGGGCAGAGCCAGCCACGAGGGCTCCCTTTCCTCCGCAGGACCCCACCTTTACATGGTGTGACCTCTTCCCCCTCATTAGTGAGGTTGGAGATGTCCTGGAACAGTCGGTACATCCTGGCCAATCGGCCTCCTTCTTGGCCCTGCTCAACAAGCATCTCCCCAAGAACAAACGATTCACGCACCCATCTTTTACTGCCGACCCACAGCTGTGGCTACGAGGACCACGCCCTCTTGGGAGGAAGGCGAGATCTGGTGATGCTCCTGGCCCATAGCCCCTGTCGCCCTGGACAGACTGATCGTTGAAATGGTAGTCTGGGATAGAAACGTTAGACTAGATTAGAGTCACACATACACCGTGTACTATGCCGTCCTTGAAGTGTTTCAGTCAAGGGTGCTACCTGTTAGGAAGTATAACGACGCATGGTTTGCTGGTTGGTAATATCCTGTGATGTATATAGCCAGGCATCTGACGTAATTGTATGGTAGTGTAGGCTCAACTACTTGATTGTGCTAATTGGGGAGAACGATCCATAGCCATACATACGGGCATGACGAGTCGCCTGTATGGTAAGTATAGATACTATTGAGTAACTGCCTATTGGCTGACTGTGAATACTGGTAAGATTGCATTGGTCACGTCTAGACAGGCGACCTTGCTGGGGTGCCTGTATGACAGTGAGGACACAAGGGTTTGATTGTGTTGACCGGGGAGGGACGTACGCCGAGATGCGTGTGGATTGGTTGAGTTGACTGTAGCGGGATAGATCTAGTTGTTTGTCTGGGGTGACCAACTACAAGTGGGTACGTAGGCCAGGTGGAAATTAGGGCGTGGCAGTACGCCGTGTGTGCCACGTCAGCGTGGTAATTAGGGTGGGGCATTGTACTTAGGGTGTGGTGGCTGATTGATTGGTTAGCGTTGCTGAAAGGATTGCGATTGCATTGTACCCACAGTGTGACCACGAGGGCATGGCAATCAGGGCGTGGGGAGTGGTGCAGGGCTGGACTGCAAGGTGTGGCTACGGCGTGGAGCCTCGAGCGGCGCAGTGTGAAAGCTCGGGCTGATTGTGTATGACTGCACTTCCCCGGTTGTGTTGACTGTATAGTGGAGTAGGTCTATTTGTTTGACTGGGTTGATCAACTATAAGCTGGTACGCAGGCCCGGTGGAAATTAGGGTGTGGCAGTGTACGCAGTGTGTGGGGGTAACCTTGAGCTGATTGCCATAGTTAAGCCTGTATTTGGCATTGTATTCACAGTGTAACCACGATAGCATGGTAATCAGGACTTGGTATTGTACTCAGTGTGTGGTGGTTGAGTGATCGGTGACCACGGCTGGACTAACTCAGTGTGTGATGGTTGATTGGTTGGGTATTTTGGATTGCGACTCACAAACCTTGAGGCCATTTGGACAAATTGCTAATCTTGAGCTGATTGCCTGAGTTAAGCCTGTATTTGGCATTGCATTCACAGTGTGACCACGACGGCATGGTAATCAGGATTGGTATTGTACTCAGTGTGTGGTGGTTGAATGCTTGGTTACCACTGCTGGAAGGTTTGCGATTGTATTGTATTCATGGTCTGTTTGAATAAGTAGCTGAGGGCTGTACAGACTAAGGCTGCATTGTCATGATAATCAGGGTGTGGTGTTTATTCCTGGGCTGATTGTCATAGGTCCGACTGCATTGTGTGTGGGTTGATGGCGTGTGACTGCACTACCTCGGACTCGCACACGACGCCAGCATCGATGGTAACACCCCAAGCCCTTAAAATTGCCTCGCTTAACGCTCGGGGGCTCGGCCCTGCGTCGTTCTCCGCCAAGTGGCGGGAAATTAAAGGCCTAGTTGATAGGGAGAAGCTCCACATTCTTTGTCTCCAGGAGACGAAGCTCAGTGATGCAAGGCTGATGGACGGCCAGCTTCCGCCCGTGAAGGCCAGATTCCAGCTGTGGGCCCCGGCTGAGGGAACTGTGGGGGGGGTTGCGGTGCTCTGCACACGATATTTTAAGGGCGAGGTGCTTGACTATTTTGCAGACACATTAGGGCGATGGGCCTGGATCTACGTCGATATAGCGGGCGAGCGCTTAGTTATCGCCACGATCTATGCCCCCTCCCAGGTCCAGGACAAGCGCCAATTCTGGACCCACTGACCGGCGTCCATACCGGACACAACAAAATTGCTCCTGATAGGGGACTACAACACCACCACGGAACCCCCACTGCGCCCAGATGGCCAACCCCAGCATAGATTGGACATCCAGACAATGCACAATACACTCAATGACATGGGCTTAGAGGACGCGTTCCGCTCACTGTGGYCTCATCATCCGGGGGTTACATGGGTAGGCTCATCCCTAAGAAAGCGTAGCAGGTTGGACATGGCATGGGCGACAAGGGAATTGATAAGACAGCTTCTTGACTTCACCATCATCCCGATCGCCCGCTCTGACCATAAAATGATTATCACTGTGTTTGCCATGCCCTCCCTACTGAGAACGAACCCCCCCCCGGCAACAGCCCCGACGTGGATGTTCTTGGATCCGGCGTATAAGTCCTTCATTTTGCAGCACTGGGAATACTGGGCGGAGCTGCGATCTCCCTCCCAGTCGACCCTGTCATGGTTAGCGGAGGGCACCGCAGCCCTCCTCAGGCTGCTTAAAGCCCGTGCCGCGGCATCGAAACGTGCCCGGCGACGCACTGCCGACAAGTTTGCCCAAAGGGCGCTGGATCTAGGCGACGGTCSTGACACTCAGGAGGATGAGGACGAGTGGTGGGCCCAATGGGCTGCCTTGAAGGCCCAATGGGAGGAGTGGCAGATTACGGACGCTGACCTGTGGGGCTCCAGGAACAAAGCCAATTGGACGGTAGCCGCCGAGCGGATGTCCAAAACCTTCTTCGCCCAGTTGTGTGCAGACAGACCGGCCTCATTGATGCTAACTATCAACCACCCCTTTGACGACTCCAAACCGATAGCGGACTCCACGCAAACGATCTTGCAATATGTGGAGGAATATTATAGGTACCTGTTCTCTGAGGAACAGGCAGAGGGGGCACAGGACCCCCCGGAGACCATTGAACATTACGTTTGGAGCAAAATCACCAAGACGGTGTCACCACAGGACAGCCAATGGCTGGATGAACCAATCACGGTGCAAGAGCTAGCAACGGCCCTGGCCGATATGCCCTCTGCAAAGGCACCGGGCCCCGATGGGATGCCGGTGGAACATCTCAAACTGTGTTTCGACCTCCTCGGCCCACACCTACTGCAGGGCTTTAATGCGGTGTGGACGTCTCAAGAGCCCCTTCCACCGGACTTTGCCTTGGCCACAGTGATTCTGATACATAAGAAGGGCCCCCTTAGTGAGATCCGGAATTGGCGACCCATCTCGCTACTTTCGGCCCCATACAAACTGTTCGCTAAAATCATGGCTAATCGCTTAGCCACGTTACTCCCGCAGATGGTAGATGAGACGCAAACGGGGTTTATCCCCGACCGTCGCATCATCACTAGTGTTCTCTTGGCACGGCAAGTGCTATGGCAGGCTCAACACACGCAACCCCCGCTGGCTTTTGTAATGCTGGATTTCGCGAAGGCATACGACAGGGTCTCATGGCCTTTTTTGTGGCAAGGGCTCTTGAGGAGAGGGCTTGGCCGCCAATTTGTCAATATGATCATTACGCTCTTCAATGTCGCAGAGTCCCGGCTATTAATTAATGGCTTCCTCACACAGCGAATCAGTGTCACGCGCTCTGTTCGGCAGGGCTGCCCACATTCCCCGGCGCTGTATGCGCTATTTATTGAGCATCTCCACGACATGCTGCGCGCGGACAGCGATCTGATAGGCCTCCCTCTCCCGCATGGCAAGAAACTTAAGAGCTCGGCTTTTGCAGATGACACCGGGGCAATTACGGCCCTCACACCCACCAGTGTGAGGGCACTTACCACTCAGATCGAACACTTCGAGCGCTATGTCGGCGCAAAGCTGAACTGGCATAAGTCGGTGGCGCTGGTCCCAGACATGAATGCCGCTGGCCTCTTCGCCGGCATGCGAGTTCAGCCTATCACAGACAGTGCAGTGTATCTGGGAATCGTAATGCCTGACGCACTTTCCAACGGCACTCAAATTGAGGCCGTCATGCAGAAAGCAATCATTCGCATGGCGTCTTGCGCTAAAAGACTGCAGGCGGGAGTCTTTGGCCGAGCCCTCTTGGCCAACACCGCAGCTTCCTCGATGTTGTGGTATGCGGGAGCGGTATCAATGCCTAGTCAACAGGCACAGCTCAACTACCAAACGAACCTGGTGAAATTTGTGTGGAAAAACGACCCTCTGGCGCTGACAACCGTCCATCGTGTCGCATGGAGAAAGCTTATCCAACCAAGGGCCGCGGGTGGACTTGGTCTTTTGGACCCCTCTAATCAGCTCTGGGCATTACACCTACGTACGATCCTCTGGCTGATCCTGGAGGATGATGCAGCCCCGTGGAAGGTCTTGACCCTGCAGACGATGGCAGAGGCCATGCGCCTTCACCCTGCAGACGTGATGACAGCCCTCCTCCAACCCTCTCTACTAGGCAACCTCAAGCGTGGTGCGCTGTGGACACCTACACTCACACTCTGGAGGAAACTCTCCCCTCTCCGTCTGCGCCCGCCCGCCTCCAGGGAACAGATCCTCCAGCAGCCCCTGTTTGACAACCCAATGATCCTCGACGCTGAGGGACGTCCTTTCCCATGGATGCGGACCAAAGGCGCATTTGGTAGGGCATGGGTAACGGCCGGGATAGGGAGGGTAGCGGACATCTGGGATGAATCCACGGGCGACTGGAAAAATGACTCGCTAATGATTGATGCACTACATGGGCAGACGGACAAATTGGGACGGCTTAGGCACATCCAACGGGCCATCCCAGAGGAATGGACGAAAATGCTCCGAATGGGTCTACGGTACCGAGGGGAATGGGCGATCCTCCGATCCAATACCCCACAGGGCAGCGACTCGCCCCCTGTCCTTTTTCAGCTGAAGGCCAAGGTCGGCTCGCAGTGGCTCTTGGCCGATGCCTGGCAGCTTGTGGGCCCAATGTTGCCCACCAACAGACACATCACTGGCCCCATGCAGCGGAAGCCGGAGCACGACGGCTGGCTCCCGGTGGATGCCATTCGCGCGGTGGCAGTCCTTCGTGACAAGACCCGTACATCGGCCCCCGTGTATAGAGCATTTCACCCCGCCTGTAGGCCGCTGTCTTTGGCAGTCGACCCCTCCATGTGGGAATGGAGGCCCCAGGCTTCCCAGCGGAAGCCTGAGTGCCTCCATCAGGTCCGCACCAAAACCATATATCGCTCRCTAACACCCCGGGTCCTAATGCACGCCGAGATCAAATCCCGCTGGCAGAAGTGGAACCACCTACCACATACTGTCGAGGCCACATGGGATGCGGCCTCTTGGGGAAAGACTTGCACCGGTCTACAACACCTGCCAAACCAGAAGCACACCGGCCTGCTGTGGCTCAATCTGCACCTCGCCCTCCCCACCAAGCAATGGCTTGCAGCTCGCACGTCGTTTAAAGACCTCCTATGCCCCYAATGCTTGAATGGGCCTGAAGATTTCCACACCTTTGGTTTGATTGCCCGATCCAGAAGCAATTCTGGACCTGGTGGAGAACGGCGATTGGCGGCGACATCTCGATTATGACCACCGGCGAGTCGGAGGCTTCGCTGCTCATCGGTCCCTACCTCAGCGGGCGAAACGTCCGGAAGGAGAGAGCCTATGCCATCGAGGTCATCAGGGCGGCCTTTATTGGGGCCGTCTG